TTGAAAACCTAGCCTGCAGCTGGTGTTTTTGTTGTTATTTCAATAGTTTTTTTTAAAGAGAATCTGAAATTCAGTTCATTCTTTTTATGCTTTATCGTTTTATTTGATGTTCAACAAACAAACATGCACAACTACAGGAACAGCGAGTCAAAGGTTTAGCAGGAAGATGAATCATTGTTTTACTGTTCGTCTCAGTTTTCTCTTCCAAAAAGAGTTCACAGATCTCAGATATCAAACTTGTTTTCTGTCTATGTGAGGTAGAATTACTGTTTTTATCAATGCAGTCTGGTGGCTTTGACGAGAGCGATACAGCTGCTGTTTCTGGTTAAACAAAAAAGATCTCTTTAAAAAAGTCTCTTTGGAGGGATATTTTCATAAGTTTGTAACAACAATCTGAGCCTGTCCGCCGCAAAAAAAAAAGCTTGTTTCATGGACGTACTCTGAGCCGTGTTTCGCAATACTACCCTGACTTCCAGGTTGAAACAAAAACAAAGTTTTTCACTTTGCATTATTACTACTGATAGAAAAGATGAACAAAAGTGTACAAAATAAAACTCAAATCTAGCACAATACAAACCTTCTCTGATGTTCTCTTCACTCTGACCCACGTACATGTTGATGAGCTCCGGACCTTTAACACTGAAACACAAACAGGTTCAAGGAATTTAAAGTCAGCTGCATTAAAGTGGCTTCAGGATCTTTACATGTTCTTACACAGCCTGCAAAAAAATATGCAAATGTAACAGAGAAAAATGCTCTTTCACACACATTTTATTTATCACTTAATGGTTTTATTGAATATTTGTGAATTTTATCTCATGGAGTTATTTATATTTCTCTTCATTTTTGCTAATGATCCCTGTGGAAATGACCCTAGCTGCACGCTATCCCGTCTGAACCTCCTAGGCTTCCGTAGCGCTCCGTCTCGTTTTGCACCGCTGAGGGTGGAAAAGTGCCGCTGGGCCAACGTACCGTTTTGTTTGGAAATTGAACCATTTAAGTTATAACTTTCAAGGCATATTGTCTGATGTTACGTATCAGTGTTTCTACGGATGTGTTGCATTTAATATTCTCTGGACAGTGTTAATGGCTCTCTGTGAGCACTGTGCACATGATGTGATGTTAAACTAATGTATTTGTGATGTATTTTAAAACATGAAGCTGTCTGCAGTCTCGTTTTCCACCGCTGAGGGACCAGGTAGCTAACAACAACAGCGGACCCAGACGTGTTAACGGAAGCTGCTGAGAAGCGCACGCAAATTGTAATTTACTAAAAGCAGTTGACTCTGAGCTCCTCCTGCGGGTAAACGGCGTAGCTGTCAGAGCAGAATCCAGAACGACTACGGGGGTTAATCTGTCTGAAAGCTGCAGCGCTGCTCCCCGTCGGCCAGCGGATTGTCACGACACCGCTCGTCTCGTCCTCTCCAAGCAACGCTCTGAAGCCGCCGGTGACGTTTGGACAATCTCACCGCTGATTGGCTTTTGCAACATCGCGTCAAGCGAATTTCTCACCCAAGTTGAAAAATTTGACTCGCGCGAACCAGCGGATGTCGCGACAAACGCCTCTTTCGCGCCGCCTGGAGCGAATTCGCAGGAATTAACACAGCTTAAGAGGAAGCCAGAAGGCCATTAATAAGTGCATTGTGTCTACAGGAGCCTGTAAATTGTGAAAGAGAAGCCATCTCTCTCTCTCGTCCTTCACACGCCCTGTGACAACCTGTTGTACTCAGAATGCACCGCCCTTGTGAGGAACGCCCACCCGCTCTGATTCGCTATGCGCCACAGCGGTATCCTCCCCGTGAATAAAGGAGCGAAAGGGGAAGAGGACAGTGAATTGAGCCTGATTGCGTCGGAGTAAAAAACTATTTTTTCTTGTGAGTAAACGTGTCTACACAAGCTTCGGCCTCGTTACTGTTCGTATCATCCCGCATCTACTTACCGGCATAAAGCCAAAACGCCGTAACCAAATGCCCAGACCAGGATCTTTCTGCCAGCGGACCGCCAGAAAGCATTTTCTTTGTTGCCCAGCTGGTTTTTCTTTCTGTGTGTGTGTGTTGCCACTCGAACCTTAATTTTGTGATTAATTGATTTTATCTGGAAGACTGGGATGAATTTATGTTGTTACTTTGAATGAACTGAAAAGACCAACTTTTGTGCTTTTGTGAATCGATTGGAAAGAACCTATTTTGTGTTTTTTCCTTACCAAGAGAATACTGAACGCCGATACTCTGAGAGGACAATTTGAGTTTTCTTAAAAAGCATTTTTGTTTTGCGTGTGTGCATTAAAACTCCTGAGGTGTGGTTTTCATTACACTGTTGGTGTCATTAAACGTGGGGGGGGATTAGCATTAGTATCTTATATGTCAGGAGAAGACCTGACTGGCACATTTAAAAGCTACTAAACAAGCTTCAAGAACTTCCAGTTTGTACTCCGGTAGAAAACAGAACAAAGCTTTCTTTCTTTAGCTGACAGAACAACAGTATCCAGGAGGCTTCCTCCTCTAAACAAACTCAAGGCGACAGCACACAGAGCTGCCGTCTCTTCATTTCCAGCCACAAGGCAGCAACATGAGGACAAAACCAAAATAAATGCATCATGTCCTGCGGATCAGTTCTGACCGTGTTCTAATATTTCAAGTCCTGGTATCAGACACACAACCTGCCTCCAAGGAAGCGGTTTATCAAACGTGGAGTAGAGTTCAATCATATTATTTTAAAAAGGAATTATCCACGTACAGATTCATCTTTTAAGTAGTTCCCTCTGGTTCCTTTAATCCAGCAAACTGCAGTTAGAGACTGATTAGATCTGAACAATCTCAAGATGTTGGGATCTGTTTCCTGCCGTCTGTGTCGAGGAAGGTGAAGGTGTTCCTACCTGAGGAAGGTCATGGAGCACTCAGTAGCCACGGCTTTGGCCAGCAGAGTTTTCCCCGTCCCTGGTGGTCCGTAAAGCAGGACTCCGGTCCGGTTCAGACCCAGAGACAGGAGCTCTGGACGCTGCAGAGGAAGCTGAACAGTGTCCAGGATCTCTTTCTTCACCTGCTGCAGACCTCCAACGTCCTCCCAACGCACATCAGGGATCTGATCACACAGAGAGTTAACCAGCCGCTAGGGCGACGGGTAACCAGCCGCTAGGGCGACGGGTAACCAGCCGCTAGGGCGACGGGTAACCAGCCGCTAGGGCGACGGGTAACCAGCCGCTAGGGTGACGGTTAACCAGCCGCTAGGGCGACGGGTAACCAGCAGTTAGGTTACAGTTAATCAGCAGTTAGGTTATAGTTAACCAGCCGCTAGGGTGACTGGGTAACCAGCCGCTAGGGTGACGGGTAACCAGCAGTTAGGTTACAGTTAACCAGCCGCTAGGGTGACGGGTAACCAGCAGTTAGGTTACAGTTAACCAGCCGCTAGGGTGACGGGTAACCAGCAGTTAGGTTACAGTTAACCAGCCGCTAGGGTGACGGGTAACCAGCAGTTAGGTTACAGTTAACCAGCCGCTAGGGTGACGGGTAACCAGCAGTTAGGTTACAGTTAACCTGCAGCTAGGTTACAGTTAGCTAGGTTACAGTTAACCAGCCGCTAGGGTGACGGGTAACCAGCCGCTAGGGTGACGGGTAACCAGCCGCTAGGGTGACGGGTGACGGGTAACCAGCCGCTAGGGTGACGGGTGACGGGTAACCAGCCGCTAGGGTGACGGGTAACCAGCCGCTAGGGTGACGGGTAACCAGCCACTAGGGTGACGGGTAACCGGCAGTTAGGTTATAGTTAACCAGCCGCTAGGGTGACGGGTAACCAGCCGCTAGGGTGACGGGTAACCAGCCGCTAGGGTGACGGGTAACCGGCAGTTAGGTTACAGTTAACCAGCCGCTAGGGTGACGGGTAACCGGCAGTTAGGTTACAGTTAACCAGCCGCTTGGGTGACGGGTAACCGGCAGTTAGGTTACAGTTAACCAGCCGCTTGGGTGACGGGTAACCGGCAGTTAGGTTACAGTTAACCTGCAGTTAGGTTACAGTTAACCAGCAGCTAGGTTACAGTTAACCAGCAGCTAGGTTACAGTTAGCTAGGTTACAGTTAACCAGCAGTTAAGTTACAGTTAGCTAGGTTACAGTTAACCAGCCGCTAGGGTGACGGGTAACCAGCCGCTAGGGTGATGGGTAACCAGCAGTTAGGTTACAGTTAACCAGCCGCTTGGGTGACGGGTAACCAGCAGTTAGGTTACAGTTAACCTGCAGTTAGGTTACAGTTAACCAGCAGCTAGGTGACAGTTAACCAGCCGCTAGGTTACAGTTAACCAGCAGCTAGGTGACAGTTAACCAGCAGCTAGGTTACAGTTAACCAGCAGCTAGGTGACAGTTAACCAGCAGCTAGGTTACAGTTAACCAGCAGTTAAGTTACAGTTAGCTAGGTTACAGTTAACCAGCCGCTAGGTTACAGTTAACCAGCAGCTAGGTGACAGTTAACCAGCAGCTAGGTTACAGTTAACCAGCAGTTAAGTTACAGTTAGCTAGGTTACAGTTAACCAGCCGCTAGGGTGACGGGTAACCGGCAGTTAGGTTATAGTTAACCAGCCGCTAGGGTGACGGGTAACCGGCAGTTAGGTTACAGTTAACCAGCCGCTAGGGTGACGGGTAACCGGCAGTTAGGTTACAGTTAACCAGCCGCTAGGGTGACGGGTAACCGGCAGTTAGGTTACAGTTAACCAGCCGCTTGGGTGACGGGTAACCGGCAGTTAGGTTACAGTTAACCAGCCGCTAGGGTGACGGGTAACCGGCAGTTAGGTTACAGTTAACCAGCCGCTAGGGTGACGGGTAACCGGCAGTTAGGTTACAGTTAACCAGCAGCTAGGTTACAGTTAACCAGCCACTAGGGTGACGGGTAACCGGCAGTTAGGTTACAGTTAACCAGCCGCTAGGGTGACGGGTAACCGGCAGTTAGGTTACAGTTAACCAGCCGCTAGGGTGACGGGTAACCGGCAGTTAGGTTACAGTTAACCAGCCGCTAGGGTGACGTGTAACCGGCAGTTAGGTTACAGTTAACCAGCCGCTAGGGTGACGGGTAACCAGCAGTTAAATTACAGTTAACCAGCCGCTAGGGTGACAGGTAACCAGCAGTTAAATTACAGTTAACCAGCCGTTAGGGTGACGGGTAACCAGCAGTTAAATTACAGTTAACCAGCCGTTAGGGTGACGGGTAACCAGCAGTTAGGTTACAGTTAACCAGCCGCTAGGGTGACGGGTAACCAGCAGTTAGGTTACAGTTAACCAGCCGCTAGGGTGACGGGTAACCAGCAGTTAGGTTACAGTTAACCAGCCGCTAGGGTGACGGGTAACCAGCCGCTAGGGTGACGGGTAACCTGCAGTTAGGGTGACGGGTAACCTGCAGTTAGGTTACAGTTAACCAGCAGCTAAGTTACAGTTAACCAGCCGCTAAGTTACAGTTAACCAGCAGTCGGGGTCTCATCACCTTGGGGGCTCCGATGGCCGTGGACTGGGCGTCCTGCAGGGTCTTCAGGGCGGAGGTCAAGTCCTGGTTCAGGATGGTCACTCCACTGGAGCACAGATCCTCCTCCTGCCGGCCTCCACTGGGAATAGAGCAGGACTTTAAAAAACGACACCGAGTTTAACCGCCACAGCTCTTATTATCTGTCTTTAGTCTCACCAGGTGAGAATCAGCCTCCTGCAGGCGGCTCGACCTGCCGCCACCAGCAGAGCGCTCAGATCCCCCAACACAAAACCCTGAGGAGGAAGACGTGGAGAAATCACCGTTACTGAAGCCAGATGTTTCACCCAGCACACAGGTTTTAGTTTGTTCTCAACATTTACAGACACTCTTTTGGTCCCTGAGCTGATCTGGTCCCTGATCTGGACCCTGATCTGGACCCTGGTCTGGACCCTGTGCTGGACCCTGATCTGGACCCTGTGCTGGACCCTGATCTGGACCCTGATCTGGACCCTGTGCTGGACCCTGTGCTGGACCCTGATCTGGACCCTGTGCTGGACCCTGATCTGGACCCTGTGTGCTGGTCGTCAAATTGCTGATGTTTGAACAGTGACGTACCGCAGTGAGTTTGGACAGTCTCTCCAGGTCGACGTCTCTCCCCAGGTGAAGGTCTCGGCTCAGGCTGACCAGCATCGAGTGCCGCTGCTCCTCAGTGGGACTCTCTAACGCCACCTGGTGGACAAACGACGCCATGACACCTGCAGACAGATCCCGAGGTCTGCTGACCGTCGCCACCACCACCACACTGAAACACAAAGACAACCAGGGTTCACTTCCTCTGAACTGAACCTCAGCAGGATGTGAGCAGGTGAGAGTTCAGGGTCAAATTATGGCGGGCAGAGGAACTTCCTGTCGTGGGTTAGAAAGACCTCTAATTTCTGTCTCCACCTGCAGCAGATCAATGTTACTGTAGGAGGGTTAAAGGCAGTCAGTGACCTGGTGGGGGCGCTGTGGAGCAGCTGGCAGAACGCAGCCGGGACCCTGCCGTCCTCCTCGGCGCCACCACGAGGTCTGAGCAGGAGCTGCAGGTTCCTGAGCAGCAGGATGCAGGGCTGCAGGGCGTCGGCCCGCTGAAACACCGAGGTCAGCTTCACCTCCGAGGCTGCAGGAGTGTCAGCGCACACGCTCACGCAGTCCACCTGCACACAGGTAACAACAGGAAGTGGAACTGAAACAACGTGTAACAGCACCTCCTCCTCCAGCCGGTCCGGAGCTGATGTGCAGACCAGATTTAGCAAAATCCTTCCAACACATGATACCTGAATAAGACTCTCACAGTTTCCTTCTTTCTTTTGGCTTTTCTGTAATCTGAAGCTGTTTCAACAACGTTTTATGTTTCGGGTTGTTGAAATAAGCCATTAAGTGTTTTCTACAATAATAAATAATAATAAATCACGGACCATGACGGATAAAGGATGTTGATCAGCGACTACTAAACCTTTTCTCTCTTATGGCCTTTATCTTAAACTCTCCACAATACCTGAGACCCGTGAGCTGTTACTGGTCTAGTCACGTGATCAAAGTGAGGATGACGTTGCAGCGTGCAGCCTCACGTCATGTCCCGCAGCCTTCAGTCCCAGATGCTGACACCCCGGCCTCCATCAAGGCAAAGATCCAGCTGGACGACCTCTACAGGAGGCGTTTCCCACACACTGATTTATTTGTGGCGGCCTGACACATTATCAAGGCTGATTTAACATTTAGTTTCTATTTAAAACGGGTCAAATCCTATTTGATTACAGAGCATTTATTCTCTCTCCCTCCCTCAGAACAGCATCAAACTTGGAAACCAGGACTCATTTTAACTAAACATTAGTCAACAACTCATCTAATTTTCTGTGATCTTTACTAAGTATATAGATTTAGTTTAAGTCTCTTAATAATCACACGAGAAGTTTCTGTAATTTAAATGTCTTTGGATTTCAAACTTCCCACAAGAAAGATGCTTTAGTCATTTAAAAAACATTCTGTTTCACAGATACTGAATTCAAATCTATTCTTTTATAGTGCAGGAGTTAAATATCAACATGTATTTAACAAACTATAAGAAGCTGTTTAAAGTGTCAAACAGAGAACTTTGCATAAATAAAATATAAATCTATCAGAGAGCCTGAGGAGACACGAACTCTCAGACAGTTTTTACTAGTGGTGTGGAAAATAAATGGCTGCAGAGTGTAAAGTGCGTAGTTCAACACGTATCTGACTCTAATAGTTAAGAACAGCAGCCTCATAAATAAAAACAGCAGCAGAGGTCAGTAATAACGCTGTAATAATGTAATGTTAGCTACAATTACATGAAGTAACATTAAATATCTGCATTTCAACTACTACTTTGGATTGTTACAAATACTTTGATTACTTGGTACTTTGAAAGCAAACAGTGAGTAAAATACATCTGTATCCTGTTTGTTTTACAGTCGCATCGTAGCCTCATAATCGTAATGAGGTGCCTAGAAATTCCCGCCCTTGAGGTGACGCGTCGAGGAATCGAATCGTGAGACCAGTGAAGATGCACAATCCTAGTTTTTACGCTTTAGTCTACGGAGAGAAGAAGAAGAAACACATGTCTGAACAAACGTGAGTAAGTGGAGGACAGGGTCAGCTGTTCTACCTTCAGCAGGTGGAGGTTCAGTCTGCGACTCGCCGCGCCGACCGCCGTCATCTTACCGCTTCCTGCAGGACCGTGAAGCAGGACGGTGCAGCCTGACAGGGAGCTGCTGCAACCACACAAAACACTGACATCACCGATGACCACATGTCCCATCATGCTTTATGAGAACAGGCCGGTCAGTTACCTGCGGTGCAGGTGCGGCAGGATGATGCTGCCGAGGAGGTCGACGGTCTTTTGGAGGCCCGGAGGAGACAGACTGCTCCACAGAGACGCTCCGTCCACAGAGCAGCAGGGGACGGGGCTGTTGGTGGACGCTCGCTGAGGAGACACAAACTGGGAGTAAGATCCTGATTCGTACGACAGTGATTCTGACACGTGGGCGGATCAATTCAATCGAAACAAACGCACCTCCCTGAGCGGCATCAACCCACTGATGGTGAGGAGCAACACGGGATGCACAGATCTGATACCGATATCGGCCCCATACTGACTCAAACAGCTGGATCGGTGACGAGGGGGACGTCCCAAGCAAATGCGTCAGCAGCGGCGTCCGGGTCCAGCCTGATGTCACCTCACACATAACAGAATGATTCCCAGTCTCGTCCTCAGAGTGAGGAACACAGCTTATTCATTTTCAACTGATCTCAGATCTGCGGATCCCCAAAGCCCAGGTATCAGGACTCAAAAGGTCACATTGGTGCATCCTCATGGTTCTTTCAGACCAAAAGCGAAGTGAGCGCTGGGGGCGCTGCGTTTACATACAGTGGCAGGAAAACGTATGTGAACCCTGATGAATTACCTGGATTTCTGTGTAAATTTGTCATAAAATGTGATCTGATTTTCATCTAAGTCACAACAACAGACAAACACAGTCTGCTTAAACTAACTCCACACAAATAATGACATGTTTTCATGTTTTTATTGAACACAGCGTGGAAACAGTCACAGTGCAGAAACAGTATGTGAACCCGTCAGCTAATGACTTCTCCAAAAGTAAATGGGAAGTCAGCCAACCTGAAGTCCAATCAATAAGACGAGATTGGAGGTGTTGGTTAGAGCCGCCCTATAAAATAACACAACTGTTCCCATGAAGCATTGCCTGATATTAACCATGCCTCGACCAAAAGAGCTCTCAGAAGACCTCAGATTAAGAATTGTTGACTTGCATGAAGCTGGAAAGGGTTACAGAAGTGTCTCTAACAGTCTTGATGTCCATCAGTAAGACAAACTGTCTATAAATAGAGAAAGTTCAGCACTGTTGCTGCACGAGCACAGCGCAGAATGCTCAACGAGGTTAAGAAGGATCCTAGAGTTACAGCTGAAGACTCACAGAACTCTCTGGAACATGCTCTGTTGACGACTCTCCGATACGTAAAACACTAAACAAGAATGGAGTTCACGTGGAGGAAGCTACTGCTGTCACAAAAAAAAACAAACACTGCTGCACGTCTGAAGTTTGCAAAAGAGCGTCTGGATGTTCCGCAGCACTACTGGCTAAATATTGTGTCAATAGATGAAGCCAAAGTTGATTTATTTGGAAGGAACACACAACCCTTATGTGTGGAGGAAAAAAGGCACAGCACACCAACATGAAAACCATCCATCCCAAATGTATGGTGGAGGGGGCATCATGGTTTGGGGCTGTCTCAGGGCCTGCAAGGGTTGCTATCATCGACGGAAAAATGTATTCCAAAATTTGTGTTGACATTTTGCAGGAGAATGTCAGGCCATCTGTCCGCCAGTTGAAGCTCATCAGGAGATGATGCAACAGGACAAGGACCCAAAGCACAGAAGTAACCAACACCAGAACGGCTTCAGCAGAAGAACATACTCCTTATGGAGCGGAGTCCTGACCTCAGCCCGACTGAGATGCTGTGGCATGACGTCAAGCGAGTGGTTCACACCAGACATCCCGAGAATATTGCTGAACTGAAACAGATATGTAAAGAATTGGTCCAAAATTCCTGTTGTTCAGGTCTGATCTGCAGGAAATGTTTGGTTGAGATTGTTGCTGCCAAGGAGGGTCAACAAGTTATTAAATCCAATTACTTCTTCCAGCCTTCCAGATATAATTGTTTGTGCAGAGATAGTTTAAGCAGACTGTGTTTGTCTGTTGTTGTTAGCGTCGGTTGGCACCTCCAGCAACATGTTTACTTTGGGTTCATACTGAATGCACAGTTAGGAACAACCAACACACATATCCACCCACAGTTCTCACAGAGAATTTACATTTACTGTAAAAAGCTGCTCTGTGGTGACGACAATCAAAATCACCTGCAACCAAAAGTAACAGAGAAAACCTGAAACGTCACAGAAACCAGCCAAAGAGACGACGTCCAGCTTCAGGTGAGCTCTGTATTAGTTACAATTCAGATCCCTTTTTAAAGAGGTAGCAAACTACTTTGGTTGTTATGAGCCGTCCTTCACCAGCTGATTTCTGCCCGACGACAACATGAACTGCAATAAATACTTTTTAAGGATTGTGGGAGAAAGTCATGATTCTCATTGTGACTGGAGTCGTGCAGCTATAACTGAATACCAACAGGCTGAAGGTCCGAGGCGCTAGTCGACTGGGAACCGGAAGGTCGCCGGTTCAAGTCCAGCACGGACCTGAACCCCTAACTGCTCCCCGGGCGCCGCACAGTGGCTGCTCCCAGTGAGGACGGGTTGAATGCAGAGGACAATAAATTTCACCTCAGGGATCAATAAAGTGTAGGAAAGAAAAAAAGGTCACCATGTAGAGTGAGGTGTGCTGTCTGTCGGCTAGGTAAGCTCCTCCTCCTCCTTCTTCTTCTTCTCTTTCTGCAGACGGACATACTGTCTGCACTCTGAAGAACAGCACTGGACACCTGACAGAGGACAAAGGTCACACAGACTCATCACAGAGCAGGTCGACGAAACACTTGAACTCATTTCCTGTTTATTTATTACAAGTGTGACGAACTGTTCATGTTCATATTAGTGTTTAAGACCCGGAGCAGCAGAGAGGAACGTCTGGAATCACAACTGAATGATGAGGTTTTGTGTCGCAATCAAACGCAGATCAGAGCTGATCAGGTCTTTAGGATTATCTAATGCACGCCTCAGAGACCCGGGGGGGGGGGAATGAATTCGAGCCCACAAGTCTAGAAAACTGAATATAAACCAGAGAAAAGAGGTGTGAAAATAAGAGGTTCAAGTTTTCATCTTTTAAATCTATATCATTTGAGTTTATAATATTCATTACTACATTTTAAAACTTGTTTTTGAGATAACATATTTTATATGTATCCCCTGATGATGTCTGGATGATTGTTTTGATCAGCAAAGAAGGAGCTTTGTGCTAATCTGACAGCAACAGGGGAGGCCTTTCTCTGCTTTTGAAGATACCAAGCAGGTGATTGATTTTCGCTGTTCTAGCCGTTTTCAGGGCAAAAACAGCGGTTGTTTGTGTCAATAAAGACCGTCCTCGCAGGCCGCCATCTTGGTGAAGTCGGCTGAGCTGATAAGTTTTGTTTCGGTCGTCAGATTGAAGTAGAGAAGAAGAGTTTGCTTTGGCGGAGGCGGTGTTTATCGGCCTCTGCTGGCGACTCGTAGGATGTTCTGTTCTCAAGCTGCGGCCTGTAAAGCGTGTGAGTGCTTTACAGGCCAGTTTCTTTTCATCACATTTACAGTTACAGTTGTGTTCCAGGTGGATTATAATCTACCTTAGGATGGTTTTGATGGTTTATTGCATTAAAATATAGCTTTTTTTACCAGGCGAGGATGAAAATATATATATTTTTTCTGTATTTCATCTCCATGTAGTCTGTAATGGTAAATATGTGAATGTACAATGGATTTATATTCCTCAGCTTCTGACCTTCCAAAGGAGACCAGAATTATGAATCTAGGCCTGATGGTTGAGGAGATATTACCGATTTATTTTGGGTTTGTTATTTTAGGCGTTTTTCCTGGAAGTAGGTGCCGGGGTCATGAGTTAGAGAGACCTGCATGAGATGTTTTATTACCTTATTAGGAGAATTGTTTGTAAACTGAAGCAAAGGGGAGTTGCGACTACAGGACACAAGGAAGTAATGTAGAAACCTTCTGATAGCCACTGATTGTTTGTCCATTTCTTTATGCACGTTGCTGCCGTTAGAGCTCGGGGCAGAAGTGTGAGTTGATGTTTGATTAGATATAAGCTTTTTGCCCTGCTTTTAATTCCTTTTTGTCTTTTTAAATAAGCTCACTGGTGAGGCGGAACAGGTACTCCTTTTTAAAAAGGGAGGACTAAACCTCCTGTCTGAATTTAGTCGGTCAGGCCAGTACCTACTGTTGAAACTAACTTCAGAGGTCGGCCTTCAGTGGTATCTGAATTTATAATGGCGAAGGGCGCCCGGTTCCTTGCGGTGGGCCACTTGTCGCTACAGCACTAAGAAGGCAGAATAATCTCCTGCGTCCTCTCCGGTGTTCAGCTGATGGGAGTGTGTGTTTGTGTACCTGAATATTCCCTCTGAATTGTTCTCCAGCAGGTCCGGGTGGTTTTCGGCTGGAACTGTCAGGATGTCGCCCTGAGAGACCAGTCTGCACAGAGAGAAGACAAACTGGGAATCAGATCAGGACACGCGTCCACCAGCAGGTGGCGCTGTGCGTTTGGGCCGCAACTCCCGCAAAGTACAGCCGCGTTGACGGCGAATCAAAAGTGCGTTCAGACGTTTTTGGAGTTGAGAAGCTCCGCAAGTGCCGACGGGAGGCTGCACGGCAACACAATGGAGGTTAACCCACCTGCTAGCACGTCTGCCGTGAGGCCGATGGGCACCGCTGTAGGGTTAACCGGTCGACGTCCTGTGATGGTTAGGGTGAGAGTAATATGCTTCGGGGGGCTGTCAGGAATAGTTAGCTAGCTCCGGTTAGCTCCCCCAGGTCCAGTCACGCAGACCACTGCAGCCAAGACGGGTCCAGCAACAGCTGAACGATACTGTTAATGTTCGTACCGCTGTTATTCTATCATTAAATTCTCAGTAATGTTGTAAAGTTTTAACCTAAATCGAGACACATCTGGCTCGTGACAGAATATTCTTGGTTCGTGAAACACAAAAAAATACAACAGCGGTATGAATTGAAACATTGCTTTAACATTAAAAATAAATATTATTATATTATTCTTCATAACTATAGTAAAGGAAATATTAACGCATAATCTACACTGATTACTGCGTTGACACTCATCTTATTTAACGGCTCTGCGTGAGCCGAGCGGCTGCAGGTAAGGTTAACCTCCATTGTGTTGCTGTGCAGCCTCCCATCGGCACCGTGGTCGGCACTTGCGGAGCTTCTCAACTCCAAAAATGTTTAAATACACTTTTGATTTGCCGATATTCAAAATCTACACAGTTGATTTCTCGCCTAAAAACTTCTCAGAAGTATATCTAAAGTTCTGTTTTTGGCCTCTAAAGAATAAAACGCTTTGCAGTAGGAGCTATATCGTACGCGGGACGAGATTAACGGCATCACGTTTTGTGCGCGGAGGCTTCTGGGAAGAACCGTATATGGAAGTTCAACTTCCGTCAACTTTGTCTGCAGCTGGATCTTTCTCGTTTCCACTGCAGCAATTTTACCCAGGAACTAAGAACCTTTTCTACAGCAGAGACTGGGGGGGGGGAATCGATACAGCAGAGTATCGCAATATTTTACGTGGCAATATTGTATCGATACGCGGAGGTCAAGTATCGATTTTTTTAATATAAATTGTACATGAGAAAATTACTTTTTGGTACTATAATAATAAAATCAATTGCTTCTTCAGTCCACGAGAAAAAGAGTTTTCCTTTGGGGAAACAATTTGAAGTTGGAAAAAAGGTAATATATTCTAACATGTTTAAAATCGCAATAATATCATATCGTGACATAAGTATCATGATAATATATCGTGACATAGGTATCGTGATAATATCGTATTGCAATAATATCGTATCGTGACATAGGTATCGTGATAATATCGTATTGCAATAATATCGTATTGCAATAATATCGTATCGTGATATAAGTATTGTGATACTATTGTATTGCAATAATATAGTATCGTGACAATATCGTTTCGTGGCATGAGTATTGGCGACATAAGTATCGTGATAATATTGTATCGTGACATAAGTATCGTGATAATATGTTATCGCGACATAAGTATCGTGATAATATCGTATCGTGATAATATGTTATCGTGACATAAGTATCGTGATAATATGTTATCGTGACATAAGTATCGTGATAATATCGTATCGTGATAATATGTTATCGTGACATAAGTATCGTGATAATATGTTATCGTGACATAAGTATCGTGATAATATCGTATCGTGATAATATGTTATCGTGACATAAGTATCGTGATAATATGTTATCGTGACATAAGTATCGTGATAATATCGTATCGCGATAATATGTTAACGTGACATACATTGCATTACATTTACTGATTTGGCAGACGTTTTTATCCAAAGCGACTTACATTTGAGGAACAACATACAAGTATCAACTACAGATCTACAACTGACAACACATACTAGTAAGCGCTCACAGTTCATATCACATCAATGGGGTAGATACCGAGGGAAGGAAGTAAGAGTTAACAAAAAGTGCAATCAATACAAGATCATTGTAGGGGATAGAAGAAGAAGAGCACAGGAAGTGCATGTTAGAGGTGTTATCAGTGGAAGTGTTCTCGGAAGAGAAGTATCGTGACATAAGTATTGTGATAATATCGTATAATGGACAGTGTCGCATAAATAATGACGTTTTGTTTGGCATACCACAAAGTCAGCTCGTTAATTTGCCTAAGCTTCGCAGGTCTTCAGACAGTGGTGGCAACAACGGGCAGGAAGTTCCGGGCACTTTCAGTAGAAACGCAGCTTATGTCGCACTTTCAAAACCAAAATTACATGCAAGCATTCCCTGAATTTAGCTGTAACTTGTGATGTAGGCAACGACAGAGACCACGTCAAGCTGTGGGTGTAGGTACAGTCAGCAGGGAAAAATTTAGCTGGTCAGCGTCTATCATCAGTTTAAAAGTACTGGACAGGTAGACTGGTGCTGTCTCTGCTTTAGATGAGATGACGAACTGATCAAAAAGCTGTTGAGACAATTTATTGTTGGACTGACAGAACCTCCAGCTGCAGGAACAAGTGGATTATGCATGAAATCAGGAGCATCAGCCAGAGGGAACGAACACTGACCGTCCACAGCGGGCCGGTCGCTCTGCACTCTCCTGTCCCCGTCCTCTCCTGTCCCCGTCCTCTCCTGTCCCCTCCTGTCCCCGTCCTCTCCTGTCCCCGGTCCGCTCCTCTTCCTCTCCTGTCCCCGGTCCGCTCCTCTTCCTCTTCCTCTCCTGTCCCCGGTCCGCTCCTCTTCCTCTCCTGTCCCCGGTCCGCTCCTCTTCCTCTCCTGTCCCCGGTCCGCTCCTCTTCCTCTCCGGTACGGGTTGTGTCACTATTGTGACTGACACGCTGTGAACGGTTGGTGGTTGTTCCCTCTGGCTGGATGAATATCACCATGATCCATGCACTCCTGCAGCTGGGGCCTCTCTGCAGCGCCACGCTACTTTCGAAATTCTTCCCTCTCACAGAGAAAAGAACACAGCTGCAGCTGTTGTGTGAAGCGTAATTGTAGCAAAATGGCTACATATGATAATAAAAATAATAATAATAAAAATAAAAAGACAAACATGGTTGAGCTCCTTTGTTTTCAGTTATGGGTTTTTCCGATTTGGTTTTGAAACGAAATAATGAAAGAACCATACACAGATTTCCTAAAACGTTAAGATTAATAGTAAATGGTGGCGACACAGATGAAGAAAGCTATCAGAAAATTCTTCTGCTTGTGATTTTAACCCTTACATGCATCAGTTATGTCAGCCTCTGTCAGGATTGTTTTCCTATGGGTTTTTTTTTTTGCACTTTAGGTGTGAAAAATAAAATTAGAATATCACTAAAGTGCAGCAAGGAAGAAATATTTATTTAACAAACCAATGAAGAAAATTATATAGTATATAAAAATACATCTTTAATGCTGTTAAACTAATGTGGTCACATATTTTAACATATTCTAATACAGTTTAATGCAGTGCAAAAACGCTGAACCTCACTTCTGACTCCACCTTCACTGCTGCTGGCACTTGGGCATTCAGCCATTCATCATCACTGCCACGAGTATTCTCCTCAACTTATTCTGATGGAATTTGCTTCACCGTCCTGAATGCATTTCTATTACTGGCTGCAAAACACTAAATGTTACTCACATAATGTAACTAATCTGCACAAAATATAGTTTTTGTTATAAAAACTGCAAGTGTAACATAAATCCATTGATTTACATCCAAAACAAGTTGGTGCACAATAAGTATTTTCAGGAAAAACAACCTCAGTAACAGTTAATCGTAGCTGAAATATAGCCAGCGATGCATAATGTCCAATCATAATTAATGTGGAAATTTTAACAATTGTTTTACACCTTAGTTGTAACCAAATTTTATTTACCTGCAGGGTTCTCCTATAATTGGAGGAGCGGCAAGATTTACCCGAGCTGCTCAGCGTTTCTGATCATCTGTCGGCCATCTTGGTTTGCACTTACAACGGCTTACCACAGGGGGGCAGCGTATGGCATGACGCACAAACGTCCGCTGTAGTGGCTGATGTGCAACTAGACCATCAGAACCTCTGCCCATTCAAGTAAACGGCTTTTGAATAGCTGTGCGCTGTAGTGAGCACTATGTGCGAAGGTGTTAAAGCACACGCAGGTTTGATTTCCTGTTAAGCAGTAAAAGTATGTTGATTTCTTGAGTTCTACCTGCAAACGCAGCACGTTATAACCATCATTATAGTTAGTATACAGTGAATGAAACGACATGCTGACCTGGGCGTCCTGAAGTGTTCAGACAGCAGGTTGTCGTAGCAGCTGAGGTTGTTGTACAGCGGAGAGACGACCGGCTGGATGTGAAGCTCGCTGGCGAACGGCGGAGAAGCTGAGCGGCAGAAACTGTCAGAGCGGCGGGCGCCGGGCACCGGAGGTGACGGCCTCCACCTCTGAGACAAAACAACAAACCCCCAACTGGTGTTACTCACTTCTTAACGCCACAGTAAAAGTCTTCTGGCCTTACATCACGTGTTCATCATGTGACGCATTAAAGTAGGATGTTTTACGACCTCGCCTTTATTTACTCTCATAATTCTGGCTTTTACACCATAATGTGTTTATCTCAGGTATCTACGAGGGTACAGATACCGATTCCACACATACAGCCGTGCACATAGGTTTGCATATTCGTTCGTTACGCTACGTCCCCTGATGACTTTCACACGCCGACTCTGCACAACCGGAGTCAGCAGAGACTAAATGGCGTTGCACCCTGAGAACACTCTGAGTGACTGCAGACAACACGGCTCGCACATCTGAAGTAACTGAAGCTGTCAGATAAATACAGGGAAGTAAAAAGTACAACATCTGAGATGTGGTGCAGCAGAAGTAGAAAATACTACAGTAATTAAATGTACTGTCAAATACAACAGGGTCGGTCTGCAGGTGAGTGTTTGAAGCAGTTTGCCTGTTGGGCCTGCAGAGGGCGCAGATGACCCTCGCAGGGGCCCCGACCCCCAGGTTGGGGGCCACTGGTGTGTGTCGTGTGAGTGTGTTGAAGCACCTTCATCCTCAGTGTGCAGCTGTTCACGGGAACCTCTTCTCCTTCAGTCATGTTGAACCACAACGTTCCCGATATGAAACCAACTTCTCCGTTCTGGTTCAGGTCTGGACTCTGTGATAAATCCACCGCCAGCACAGAGACCAGTCGCTCTCTGCACACGGGGGCCCCCCTGACCTCGGTCTGGTCAGCAGGAGGTCTGGAGGACCCGCCCGGCCTGGACAGCCTCACCCACTCCTGGTGAAACAGCCCCAGCCTGAGCAGCAGCTGCTTGCTCACAAACACACAGCTGTCCGCGTCCACGGCCGCGCCCCGCTGACCTCCGACCCCGAGCCACCGCCGAGCGTCCGCCACCCGGACGTCCAGCCTGCACTCCAGCGCCTGCAGGACCCCCGAGAACCCCGAGCCCAGCAGCTTCCGGCTGTCCAGCAGAGACCGCCCCCCTCCGAGGCCGTCGGCGTAATGAGCGAAGTCCGACACGCACAGTCTGAGCGGTCTGCAGGGCGGGGTGGCGCCCGGGGGGTCCACCGAGTCCCAGCAGTCTGTCAGAACCAGAGACGTGTCGGCCGTGATCCGACCCTGCGTCACAGGACTGCAGTCCAACACCAGCAGCTCCGTCAGCTGGAAACAACGATTAGTCGATTAATCGGTCGGTTTTCACGAAGCATTAAATCGAGAAAATAATCAGATGGATTGATAATAAAAATAATCGTAAGCAGGAAAAAAACTGCCGCCGTATTTCAATCGTTTATTAATAAACATATTAGTGATTTAAAATATTTTCCGTTCATGTTTAGTTTCTGTGGATTGTTGGGACGGCTGCACGTTACGGTCACATTTTATTTGTCATATAAAACATTAAAACAGAACATTTAAACTCAAAGAACAAATATTTAGTTTATGTCCTCAAGAAAACCTCTTAAAAGCTTTTTACTAGTTTGTTGAGACAGAAAGTTTTCAGACCGTTTAAAACATGATCTTGGAAAAAGTGAAGAGCATCTGTCCATATTTTAACAAATATTAAATTAAATTTACTGAAATTGTTTTAATAGTTTAAAACATCTTTTGCTGACACAAGGAACAAAACTGGTTTTAAATTAAATTATTAAATAAATGAAACTTTATTTAAACCAAATATAGAAGTTTTTATTCGGAATAACCTCAGAGATATTTCATTTAACATTTTTCATGTAAAAATATTTCAGGGTCCACAGATGTGAAGATTTGCTGCTTTTCCTTTTAATTAGTTTAATTTATTTGTAATAAAGTTTAGCTGAAACACTGTGATGGAGTCACTCGGACGGCATCTCTCACTATTTTCAGAATTAAAAAAATAAATAAATTGATAAATAAAGACAATAATCAGCAGATTAAAAGTTAAAATGAGCTCCAGCTCAGCATCCTGCTTTACACCAGTGAGGAGGAAAACGAAGCTGATGCTATAATACCATCTGGAAGGGATATTAAATGCTGAGAACATTTTGAACACTTTCTGCACCAATTTATGGTGGAAACTTTCTTATTTACACAAAAGGAAACACGAACTTTCCTTTTCTTCCTTCTATATTTACATTGCATTTTTCCTTATTGTGCACATCAACTGTCCTCCAATCATTTTCATTGTTATTGATCATTTCTTGTGCACATGTCCCCTGGGTCCCCTGGGTCCCCAGAGGAAAAGACGCCCCTGACTTTACCTGTCCCGGCTCGTCTCCCAGCAGCAGCGGCTCTCCCCGCCGGGCCAGCAGCCACTGTCCCGGGCGGCAGAGCTCCAGCAGCCCGCCGGTGAACCGCTCCGCTCCGGCCCGGCGGAGGCTCTGCCTGCTGCGGGCTCCCAGCACCACTCTGTCCAGGCTGACGGGCTCCAGAGCCCGGACGGTCCCCGTGCTGCCGAGCCGCTGGAGCCCGTGGTGCCGCGTGAAGAGGCGGCTGGCGAACAGCCGGACGCGGCTCCCGGACTCGGCTCCTCCGCAGCCCGCGGTCTCCTCCTCGGTGGTCGGGTGAACGCGCAGTAAAATGCCCGGCGGGCTCCCGGGACGCGGAGGCCGCTGCGGGGTGAAGAGGACGGTGGGAGGGTCGGTGTCGTTCCGGAAAACCGAGTCCAGGTGAGACTTTAACATCAAAACATCCAGAGGACTCAGGTGCGACGGGAAACTCTCCAGACTACACAGCTGCACCTGCACCGCCATCTTGGACCTGCGTCATCAACGCTGCGTCATCACGGTTTCCGGCGCGTCATCGTCGCCACCTGGTGGACGATGAGAGGAACTGCGACCCAAGACTGACCCTGTTCCCCAAATCCAGCACAAAACAACAACAAGGCTAATAATAATAATGATGATAATAATAATAATAATAATAATAATAATAATGATGATGATAATAATAATAATAATAATAATAATAATAATTATAATTATAATAATTATAATAATTATAATAATTATAATTATTATTATAACGCTAATAATAATAATTATTATAATGCTAATAATAATAATAATAATAATAATAATAATAATGATGATGATGATGATGATGATGCTAATAATAATGATAATAATGATTATTATTATTATAACGCTAATAATAATTATTATTATAATGCTAATAATAATAATAATAATAATAATAATAATAATAATAATAATAATAATGATGATAATAATAATAAGGATATATAATAATGCTAATAATAATAAGGATAATAATGATAATTATTATTATAACGCTAATAATATTATTATTATAATGCTAATAATAATAATAATAATAATAATAATAATAATAATAATAATAATAATAATGATGATGATAATAATAATAATAAGGCTATATAATAATGCTAATAATAATAATAATAATGATGATAATAATAATGCTAATAATAATAAGGCTATAATAATGCTAATAATAATAATAATGATGATAATAATAATGCTAATAATAATAATAATGATGATGATAATAATAAATAATAATAATAATGCTAATAATAATAATAATAATAATGATGATAATAATAATGCTAATAATAATAAGGCTATATAATAATGCTAATAATAATAATAATAATAATGATGATAATAATAATGCTAATAATAATAATTTGAATAAAAATAATAATAATAATGCTAATAATAATAATAAAGGGGGGGGGCATCTTACCCCACTCTACCCTACTTAAAAGCCCAGGGCGTCTCATACGGACTCTGAAGGGTAACTTACGTGTCAAATACAGATGCTTTGTCAGGCTTTCTGGAGGCGTCGGCATTTGACGCCCAGGTGTCTGCACCACGAAGCAGGATCTGAGTTTATCCGGGTAACTTCGGGGTTAACCCTGCTGGCTTTTCAGCACCACGAAGGTGGTTCACTTCTTACTGTGATAGATCTCCATGGTAACTGATGCTGAACGGCTGACCTGCTCCGGAGGAGAGATCGACTCTGTAAAAAAAACCCGCCTACTGACCAATCAGCTCTCTTGGAAAATGACATCACCACCTGTAGGAAATCCCACAGACTGTTTCAGCCAACAGGCTGCTTGATGTTTGCAGCGGTGATGAGGAGAAACTCTTGTAGGCTAAAGCGACATCATCCTACAGAGACTGATTATTGTTGAGGAGAGTTTTCAGCAGCTTAGAAGTTCAGATTCAGTCTTTCAGCCACTATCTGAGCACATTTTATGGCATGAATGGATTTTTCGTTTCGTTGCTTTATGAAGTTAATTTAAAACAATGTTTGGACACTTTGAGTGTGTTAAATAAATTAATCTAATTTTTGAAGTGACAAGAAGTTTTTTAAAGTGAGGTGGAATGAATATTTAGGCCTATTCAGTGCCCGAGCCTTTTAATGTGGAAACACAGCCGAGCTGAACAGAACAAGGCTGATACTGTCAAACAAAAGTATTGTCCTTTCAGGGGCTCAGTATAAAACACGAAACCTTAAAAACTTCCGAGGGGGGAATACTTATGAGTGAAGGTTACTCTTTATTGGACTTAAACAGACCTGAGGCCAGTTGTAGAGAGTCTGGATCTAGATCGGGTTGTGTCCTTGGGTTTACTGGAAACCGTTGCGGCTGTGGCTCATGAGGTAGAGCGGGTTGCCCGTTAATCGGAGCATGTGGAAGTGTCCTTGGGCAAGATAGTGAACCTTGAATTGCCCCTGGTGGTGGTTCCGCTGGTGTGTGAATGTTAGTTTCTGTTTGAGCACTTAGGCTCAGTGTGTCGCAGAGACTAGAAATGCATTGAGAAAAGAATGACAAGACGCCCGTCCACATGACCAAGACTTTACTTCACAGCTCAGTGCCCAGCGACCCCGTACGAACACACCGTGGGCTCCCAACAACCAGCAGATCTTTGCACTGTCAGCAGAATCCAAGCAGGTATAACTTCCTCTCATGGTTAACCCTGTTTTTCTCATGCGTAAAAAAACAGGCATAGTGCCAACACACTGGAACAGAAGGTTAAAGACTTGAAATTTACATTTTGCTTGGCAAGATAAAAAATAAAGATGTCTTTATGGGAAATGATTCTATTATATACAATTCAGAGCATAAAGAAAATAAAAACACCCAGAAAATAGAATGATTAAAGCATGCCCATTGTCACACCATGAGGAGGAGGCGAGCGGCCGAGCGATTTATTTTGTGTTCACATCCAACTCTCTTTATCTTCTATCCAAGGCCATAATGAGTACAGGATATAATTAGGAATCTACTATCATATTAACATAGTTCGGGCATTCAAACCAGTCCAATCTGATCTTTTCTTCTTGGCCTGTTTATCCCAATAGGACGGGGAGAACTATATCAAATTATTTAAAGGTACAGCTTTTTGTACATGTTGTTTTCCCTCTACAGATTGAATGTATTTGTGATATACTTCACCATGCAGTGTGAACCGAGCGAGGTCCTGTCAATAGAAGAGTTGTATAGCTGTGGACAAGCTGGTAGTGCTGTGTGAGGTGAGAGGCCATGATTCCCAGCTCCAGAAACCAGTCTAATCAGGGATTAACCAGGGAGCGGCAGACGTATTCATAGCACCATGGCGGCAATGCTCCTGTACGACAGTCAGCTAAGATTACTGGAAGCCCATGAAGATAGTTCAGTAAGCTGTCCTTATATAAGAGGTCCGTATACATTAAATTAATTGAAGGTGGTCATTGTAACATTACAGTGTAACATGGAATCAGGTGAGAACCTTTGAGGCGTAGCTTGTCCGAAGACTGATTATACACAAACATGTCTCAGAGATGAGTCTCTTTGTATTATCTAGCGGGTACCGCTTTCTCCCTGGCATTTGGCTTCCCCTTGGCTGCGGCGGCTGGTTTCGGCCTGGTCCTGGCGGGCGTGGTGCCAGAGGACGTCTGGGCGGTGGCTTCCTGCGAGGCGCTGCGCCGCATGGTTGATGTAGTCCTGGGCGGTAGCACGGGGACGGTCGGGGCTCGAACCGAGAGGGGCTGCCTGGATGGACATACTCTCTGAGGGGAGGGGCTGTCAGTCCTGCAGTGGGTGGAGCTAAGGCTGCGTCGGGTTCCAAACAGGACTCGCAGGGGCATTCGAGGGCTGCCGGATGTGGCAGGGGCAGTGGCGGGACGGGGACATGAGGAGGAGGACCTGGGTGAGACAGGTTTGGATTTGCGTTGAGTGCTTAGTCCAATTTTCTGATTCCTGTGGACAAAAGTGTAAATTGAAGGTGTTATTTCTTTAAATTTTAGCAACATATTTAATCAAACTGCTTCAAAATGAAAACTTGTATACGCTAAAAGGGACAAACTGAATCATACCCGTTTGTGAAGGATGATGCTCCTTTGGTAGTGCTGGAGTCTGGCAAGGAGAGAGGGGAAGGAGCAGCAGCAGCAAGCCCCACTGAAGGCCTCTTTATGGGAGTGACGGGCCTAGGGATCCTGCTCCGGCACTCCTTGGAGCCTTGCTCTTCAGTCGGTTTGAGACGGGAGCTCCTCCTGGACTCGTCCGAGGTATGCGTGTCCTCCTCTGAGCCAGTTGTAGACAGTGTTTCCGAAGCCCTTCGGCGCTCATCGTCCCCAGAGGACAGTGATGACGACGTCCCGGACAGCATCCTCCTCCTCATCCAGCGACCCTGTTGCTTCTGCACCAGCATGCGAGCCAAGTCCAGCTGCCTGGCCCGCTGCTGAAGCCGAGCCCGAGCCGAGAGGGAGGAGGACTGCTCCGAGCCCGAGTCTTCTTCAGAGATCAGTATTGGAATTCGGCTTCGGATTCTGGGCTTTACGGCAGCCGGTTGTTCGGAACTGGTTGTCTGAAGCTTGGCAGCTTCTTCGCTGGGTGATGGCTGTTTCTTATGTTCCTGTGACAAACCTTTGTGTTCAAGAACTGGTGACGTGGCTTCTGGGACAGGCTCCAAAGACTGGACCAGGCCAGTTGACGGACCATTCTCAGTTGTGGTATGTTTATCAACGGCTGCAGTTTGGTCTGGTACGGACTCTTGTGGTGACTCTTCTGTCACTGGTGCTGGCCCCTGCTCATAGGTGTCCTCCTCTACAGCCAATGCATTCATGATGTCCAAGACTTCCCGGTCACTGTCCTTGGCAGAGTGGCCATTTGAAGACATGACATTGAGGTGTGATGTTTCTGCAATATGGATGAAAGTGCGCTCAACTTTGGTGAAGGGTGGTGATGCAGGAGCGATGGGAGTGGAGGGCCTAAGGTCTGACCTGAGAGCAGGGGACAAGCGGCCGGTCTCAGAGGGTTCAGGCTGGATCCCCTCCCCGACCAGGAGGCGGTCGTTACGGGAAATGAGGGCACATGGTGTGGCCAACTCAGCCTCTAGAACGTGATCACCACCAGAGGGAGACTTGCGAGTGTCTCCAGGTGAGAAGAGGACGAGGGTTTTGGAAGCGTCCTCCAGGTCAGGGTCTGCATCAGCAGCTGAGGCATGCTCCCTTTGGCCCCTCTGGTCCTCGGCCATGAGTGTTGAAGGCGCGGCGTCCTGGCTACGTTCAGTGCTTTTCTGACTGGCCTCGCTGTTGGACTCACTCTTTGTGACGTCGTCATCCTTTGGCCCTGGAGGTTCTGGGACTTCTTCTTCCGGCGTGGCAAAGCTGCGGCGCTGAGGCAAGGTCCCAGTTAGCATGACGGTAAGGAAGTCGGCCCTCTTGGCCTGGAGCTGAGGAAGGATGTGGAAATGCTCCTTCTCGTCACTCTGGCCCTTTGTCCGATAGTCTGGGGAGGGTGGCGACGGGGTGCTCTGCTCCGTGGGCGACAACACCTGGAAACAATCCAACAACACTCTTTATTACAATGGCACGCAAAACAAGACATCATGGATGGAGTTTACTGATGAAGCTTTTTGACACACACAATGCATCAACTCAAGGCCTCACACTCATTAGCAGCTTATAGACTTTCAACAAGTATAATCAATAAAACCATATTAGGAGTGGAATTCATAAATATTAATTCAGGATACAGAATCAAAACACACAATTTTTCAGCACACCTGTAACGGACAAACTGTAAAGAAAACAAACCCCTGCTGAAATAAGATGGTAAAACAATGAATTGAATCCATTCATCATCTTCAACCTTGCAGGGTCGGGCTGGATCCAATCCCTGCTGACAAGAGGCGGGGCTGACACATAGACAAACAACCACACACATTCACACTCAAAGAGGTGGTATTCTGCTTTTTCCCTCTCCTTTATTGATTTATATCCCTTTTTTGTGCATGTAACAGGTTCGCAAAGTGAAAAAGCCCAAAGGGAGTTCCCATCTCACAGAAAACTCTGCTCTGAACTCTGAAAACAGCTCGTTTGTAGTCCAGCCGCTTCCCAAAGCTAAATACGCCTCATATAACGCTCGCCAAGCGGCCACTCTGACACGCCCTCAAAAACGCTGGTGGAAAAACAGTGAGCTGCAGCACACACCTCTCATCTCCCTTCCAAACACTAGCTATCCTAAGTGGCTAGTAGTCCTTAACTAGGAACTGCGCATGTGCAACTCCCAACAAAGATCATTTAGAGACAAGATGTATCACTAAAGGAAGGAAACGAAGCCTTCAACACAAAAGAGGAGCTGCAGCAATGTGCAGTATGAAAAAAAGATGGTGTTTTTTGAAAATTAAACCATGTAAACCTGCTCTGGTACAACCTCTAAATAAGATGATGAACCTGAAAATGAGCATAATACCACCTCTTTAAGGGCAATTTAGAGTCACCAGTTAACCTATGGTGCTTCGTTTAATCCATATAACTATATAGCACGCTGTTTCGCACGGATATTTATTACTGTCGCACATCGCGCTTCCGCTGTGTGACCACGACGTGATTATGATGCTGCTGTTTGCAAAGTGGAGGAAGAGAGAGAAAATAGCGAGGGGCGAAGAAGAAAGTGTCCAAAATCTGGGAAGCAAAAGTACTTCTTAAACGATCTATAGAAACTTTGAGTACTAAAATCATCGTTAGCTGCAGCCCTACATGGTATTAATATGATATTAGTTAAAAAGTCGGAAGGGACAGCTTTGTTTGGGGGTGAAGGTAGTGAAAGCAGTGTTTTCCATAATTAGCCTATAATTTGGATAATTATCAATGCTGCAACCAAGGTTTTCTACCAACAATGTGTTGTAGCGTGTGACACTTTTCAGACTTAATAAACCACACAAACCCGTTGAAACACGTGCTAGCTAGCTACCTAGTTACAGAACAAGTGAACGATGACCCGTTTCTTGCAGTACCAACAACTTTATTTTTAAACCATAGTGAGTTATGACAAAAAAGAAAATAAGTTGTGTGTTGATGTTTTAGAGGAGGCTAACATGTGTAGCACTCTTCAGTGCTTCAGCTAACCTTTCCCACACAAAAAAACCAGCAGGAACTGATGTATTTGCCCCCAAAACCATTTTAATGTCATTTTGGTTGTACACAAGCTTTTCAAGATTGTCTAGATTACATACATTGATATAAAAGGCACAAAAAATGCATTGCAGAGTTTATCCTTAGACAGCACGCAGTCTGATATCAGGTGATTTTCAAGTGTTTCCCTTCATAAATATTTAACATACAGCCTGTACATACATACTAAACCCCGCTAATTATCATGCTATTAGAGATTAACTGCAAACTTAATTACTTTCTACATTTCTGTATATATGTACACAGTTATCATTTGGATTTACAAAAAGTTTAAAATACATGCTTTACCTGTAAATTATACAAGCAGTACTGTACAATCATATAATGCTAGAAAAAAAAAAACGCTTACATGTATTATACTGTACACGTGAAAGACACTCACGGATCATCACACCGAAATAACGCTGTGAGCTCTTCAAACCTCTTTACCTCGACAACAGAAACTCTGCTGTTATTGCAAAAACTTTGAAGGAACATTCAGACAATTTATGAAACACTCTTTGTTATTTTGTCGTCCTCAGAGTCAGATGTGGACTGTGCGGCCAACAGGAAGCAGTGGGGTGAACGGTTAGCTTAGCTCCATCAACTGAGAAAACAATTCTACTTCCCAACAACTCCAAAGCTATCTGATTTATTTTTCAATAAACAGACAGAAAAAGAAAAAATGACCGACTGACTGATACCAGCTTCCCTTCTGCGTGCCCTTTAAAGAAAACCATAGAGCCTAGCTTAGCAGAGACAATTAGCATGTTAACAAATACTGGCCCGGCTAAATTAAAGCTAACATTTAAATAAAATCCACCTTCCAACAACCTCAAGTCAGTCTGATTTACATGTTGTGTCTTGTTTATTTAAGTGTGGAAATAGAAATAAATACAAATGACAAATTGCGTTGTTAGCTGCAGTTAGCATTGGAGCTATCTGTTAACCAACAACCGCTGGGAGCAGCATCTCCTGAACAACAGTGGGGTTTTTGGTTTGAGCTCTGTCCTAAATCTACTAACCCAGCTGACTGCAGGGTGGACTGTTGACTAGCTTGTTAGGATAGGTAGGAGATAAGCTAGCAGTCCCCCCCCACTCCCAGTCTTTGTGCTAAGCAAGGCTAAACAAGTCCTGGTCCTCTCTCTGTGCTGGACACACGGAGACGAGGGTGATTTCCATCTTCTCTGGGAAAATGACTTCAGGCTTAAAAAGGATTTCTTAAAATATCTGAATGTTCCTTTGAGAATCAACTATTAGTGACACACAATGAGCGTGTTAACAAACTGGTGAAAGTGACTTACAGTCTAAACAAAACTAACATGGAGACGAGTGTTCACACAATGCAGTTTTGTTCTCTCTGCAGACACATTTATCTGTATAATATCACCCTGTTATTCCATAAAGATCAGCGCTAACACATCAAATACACAAATAAATGTATGTTTGGGAGGAGCATTATACACTTTATTTTATTTTTTACATTTATATAATTCTAGTGTTTATCTAGTGATTTATGAGGTATAAATGTTTTGTGGCAGACTCTGAAAAAGGTTTGCGGGACAGTTTCTACTAAATCTGCACTCATCTAGTTTTGGAGGAAAGTCTAAAGGCTTCAAATTAGGGGTGGGGGGTAAAAATCGACACAGCATAGTATCGTGATATTTTCCGTGTCAATATTGTATCGATACACAGACGTCAAGTATCGACCTTTTATTATTAGAAATTGTACATGAGAATTTAACTTTTTGGTACCAAAATAATAAAATCAGTTGCTTTTTCAGTCCAGTAGAAAAAGAGTTTTCCTTTGGGGACACAATCTGAAGTTGGAAAAAAGGTAAGAAATTCCAATATATCGCAATATGTTTAATATCGTATAGTGACATAAGTATCGTGATAATATCGTATCGTGGGGCCTCAAACTTTTGACGGCTCAGACAGGTAGCCTAACTTTTAGTCTGACCTATTTACAGTAGTACTGTTAACAAGTTGTAGGTTTAAATCAATTTAAACAAAGACAATCATATATATTTTTTAGTTTGAACAACATGAGTAGCAGCGGTTAGACACGTCACTCCAAACTAGATTAAACTGAATGTGTTCTTACAGCCATTAAGGCCTGGTAGAAAACACCATTTTTTGGCATGTTGGCAATATTATCATTTGTTAAAAAACTGTAGGAGTTATTATGATGTAAGCTTTTTCTCTCAGCACCATGTTGAGCAGCAGTCGGACAGAACACATTTTCATTTGTCAGCCTTGCAAGTCTTTAAACTTGCACAACAAATGTAAAGGATTGAAGGAACGTTTCTAAATCCTGGTCTTAAGATTATTGTTTTGGCCATAATTCCTACAGACCACAACGTATAAATGAAATTAAAGAAATGCCATTTCAGTGGTCGACTGACCTGCAAACTGCTTTAAGTTCAGTACAAACAAGGATGGAACTCTTCAACTGTCGACTGTTTATGGTGGACAGTTTGAGTAAAAACTTTAAAGTTCCCATTGGTTTTGTTGTTGCGACACTTTACCTCTGCAATGAAGCTGTCGAATCAAATCCTATTAGAACTGAGGGGAATTATGTCCAAAACCCAGACGCATCTCATCCAACCAGCTCAAAAGTCCACGATGTTTTAAGAGCATCACGACTTCCTCCACTAACAAACAAAACACTGGAAGTATACGTCACAATAAAAGATGTGATGAAAGATTATGGATTCTGTGACTATCAAGACTGGACTGCTCTGATCCGTGAGCATCCCCTCTACTAGCTGGGAATTATTTACAAAAAAAATCACAGACGTTTTTCAGTCAGAGGTGTATATCCACCGTGTTTTTGTTGTAATTACAGTACAGTGCTGTTTTCAGTCATATTACAGTCAGAGGTGCCGTCGTACAAACAGTAGATCTCATGCAAAGAGTGGTGACAGTCGGTAAACAGTCTTTTGGTACGACGTACCGTCAGTAATGCTGCAGAATAAGCACACTCAAAGCTTTCCACCGCATGTTTTTAACTGAATGTGGCACTGCATTCCGGTGACACAGGACAAAACATCGACATGTA